ACATCATTCCCCTGCGCCATGGCGATGGACGAATCCCCGAGGCATGGAAAGTTGACCCATGCCGAGACGACAAAACCAGTCATGGCCACCGCGATCACGGCAACAAGGCCTTTCGCAACAAGAATTTGGCAGAAGCTCATCACTCGTCAGTCGCCCATCCTCCTTCAACTCATTCATGGCTAATATTGTGAACTACAGGTACTCTGAAGCCCTCGATGTCGCCGAGACTCCCCAAGACAAGCAGCTGGCCCACCTCAACCGTGCCCTCACCAATCTCAAGCTTGGTCGACCCGCCCAAGCACTGCTAGATGCCACCCAGGCTTATGACCCTGAGTTGCCTACCGAGAAGGCTTTGTTCCGTCATGCCACCGCCCTCTACAGACTGAACCGGTTCGAAGATTGCGAAACCATGCTCATCGACCTCCTGGACAAGTTTCCTGACAGCAAGGCGGCCGAGACAACTCTTCTTTCTGTCAAGACACGACTGACAGAGCAGCACACGGGTAAATACAACTTCAACAAGATGTATGAGACAGCCAAGGCAGCCAAGGGAGCTCCCTTGATTGGTTGTGCCACCTACTCGAAGCCTGTTGAGATTCGGGAGTCGCCTGGTCGCGGTCGTGGTCTGTTCACCACCAAGGCTGTCAAGGCGGGCGACTTACTCCTCGTTGAGAAGGCCTTTGAGTACTCATTCATCGACGAGACCCGAGTGATGGACAAATGCACCCACATGGTCAACTTCAACACCAAGCGCCTGACGTCTGGTGCATCGGCGAATCTCTGGCCCAAGGTTGTTCAGAAGTTGTACCATGATCCGGAAGCTCTCTCTGCCTTTACCGAGCTACACCATGGGAAGTACAAACCGGTAACAGCTACCGAGGCGGATGGACGTCCTGTTGTTGATACGTAAGTTGACTTGCCCCTGGTTCCCGATGGAACAGTCGTTGATCTGATGTCGCAGCTTCCTTGTCGAGAAGATCCTTTCTCTCAATTCCTTCGGTGCCCCACGATCCAGTCGCGACTTCTGTGGCAACAACGTCTGGAGCGGCAACCCAGCCCCCGAAGTCTGCGCCTCCACCCGTGAGAGGCCTCTTTTCACCTCCGTCGGTGTTTGGCTTCTCGCCGCTCGCATCAACCACTCTTGTGTTGGCAACTGCCGCCGCTCATTCATCGGCGATATGATCATCATCCGCGCGGCGCGAGACATACCGGCCGACACCGAGTTGACGTTCCCTTACCGCCCATCTACTGACTCGGAGTCATACCAGGATGCTCAGAAGGGCTTGACCAAATGGGGATTCAAATGTGATTGTCAACTGTGCAAGGACCGACTCAAGACCACCGAGGCTGTTCGTGTTCAGCGTAAAGAGCTCAGCAAAGAATTCTACAAGCAGCTGCCTTCCGATCAGGAATTCGACCTTAACAAGGCCACTAAGCTTCTTCGTGTTATTGAGAAGACCTACTCTGGAAAACCCGCCAAGCAAATCCGTTGGTGCATCGCCCAACTTTATGCCTACGTCGGAATTCGCTGCCGTCAGGATGAAGATTTTGTCGGGGCTGCTGAAATGCTCATCAAAGCTCTTGAGACCATGGGCTTTGTCATTCTCGCAACTCCGCCAGATGACGGTAGTGCACAGGCTCGTTTTGAAGTCAAGCAGTGGGGAATGATGGAACATCACATCCCGTGGCTCTTCTTCCAGCTGATTGAGTGCTACGAAGAGATCAACCCGCACCTGGTGCCTGTCGCTGAGCATTATGCTCAGGTAGCGTACTCGATAATTGTTGGTGAGGGGGATTCGATGTGGGATGTCATGCCTGCTACTGGCAACAAGGCGGAGCGAACCTGATGTTGGAATGCTCTCGCGTGAAGATTGTGTTGATCAACAACAGGCAAGTGTTGCTAGATAGCTATGATGGAGAATCTTGCCATGGTAGATGGAATTGCGTACATTTACCCGTATGTAGTAGTGCCATGAATTGAACCATGACCCAGAAATTTGTCCTCTCATCGTCAAGTTTAATCAAGTGCCCTGCGCATTATTCTAGGAGGCCCTCACCTTTGCCAGCGCACCACCGACTGTTTCTGGGCAGAGTCAGTGGTATTCCTCGGTAGCTAGCGCTTATCAGTGAATCAAACTGCTTATACCAGTACATACTGAGCTTTCACGCATGGTTTTGCTGGCGCGAGTGATCCTCCAGTCCCCATTGCCAATGGCCACAGAGGGCACGATTACATCTGGCGGTATGTCAAATCCGGTGACAAGACCTGGGTGCGCTTCGGAGCGTCCACAAAGAGCTCAAGAACAGGCTGGATGCCCTGACGTGCCGACGCGGACAAGGGGACCTCAACCTGTCCCTCAACGACAGTGTAATTTGTAGGCGTGACGTTGTTCTCAACCCACACCATCAGATCGCGTAGGTGCTGCTGGTAGAGACCGGTGAAATCGACGACTCGACTCGTAGGGAGCTTCCGATCTTTCCCATGACATGGTCTGCATTATTTGCTGTAGTACAGACGATAGTGGTCTTCAAGGTTACCTTTGACTTTACAGAACTGGTCCCTGTACCAATTTGACTTCTTTACAGCAAGACAAACGAGCTGACGACAAAGCATTGAGGAAGTTGAGCGTCGTCAAGCACCTGTCTAATTTGAGGACATCGCGTCCTGAGGAAAAGAACTGTCTACTACATATTGTCACAAACTATGGCGAGAGCTTGAGTACCCCGAAAAATCAATTTTATTTCATCTTCTCTATGACACACAAATAATCCCAAGACCCTAATCACAAAATCCAAAACAAAAACAAGAAATCAATCGCAACTACCAGGGTTTATTTACTCAGCAGCGATAGCGCCGTCAATGCACTTAGTACCCTCAGCAACCTTGGAGACAAAAGCCCAGCCTCCGTTGCAGATACCCCAGGTAGTCTCGGAGAAACAGTGCATCATGCCGGACTTGACATCAGAGGGACAGGCCTGGAACTCACCAGACCAAGCGGGAGCTCCGGCTTCGGGCTTGGCTGAGTCGATTGGGGAGGGAGCATCGGTGGGCTGAGCGGGAGTGCTGGGCATGGTGACCATGCTAGAGGGAGAAGCGGGAGCTGAAGGTTGAGGGGGAGCTGAGGGCTGTTCAGGTGCAGGTACAGGGGCACTAGGCTGAACAGGAGCCGAAGAGGCAGCTGGAGCACCCTCTACAGGAGCAGAAGGCTGTTCAGGCGAGGGAGCAGGAGCACTAGGTTGAGCGGGAGCAGACTCAGCAGGATTCTCCGGTTCAGGAGCAGCAGCATCATCCTTAAAGTTGGGCTCAACACCCTTGGCACAAGTCCCCTCACTCCCAGGGGTACCCTGCTCGTAAGTCTTACCGAAATCACCAGGCTCAGGGAAGTTGATGACACTTCCACTAGCACCAGTGGTACACTCCCCGGGAATGTTGGCGCGGAAAATAGCAGGCAGCGTATCAACGAAGCTGCTATCATCCTTTCCGCCTACGACTTCAATAGGAGAGCAGACCATGTACATCTCGCGATTACCGATCTTGTTGAACCAAGTCCAAGCAAACGTCGCAGGCCCATTCTGCATATCCTTCGGGATAGGAATGTTGAACTGCTTAGTACACTCCTTACCTGTATCATTCCCACACTCCTTACCGTTCTCCCTCCCATGCGGATCCGTACCGGTAGAAGCGATGTTACCCTCCGCCTCAGCGGGACAACCACCGATGATGCTGTAGATGGTGTGCCACTCCTTAGGATCCTTAGGGGGTTCCTTTCCGTAGGCGACGCTGAACTGGCATGATCCGCCGCCGTGGACGGCGCTGCCCCAGAACTTGACGAGCTGGGTCGTGCCGGCTGTTACCTTTGTGACTTGCTCGGCGTGCTGGGTGCGGCCTTGGCAGGGGAAGGGGAGGTCTTCGCTGAGAGGCCAGGTTTGGTAGAGGGGTTCTGTGTCGAGGTTAAAGGGGTGGGGTTCGACCATGATGACGTGGGAGGAGACGTGGGTAGCTGCGAGAGCTAGGATGCTGAGGGTTGACAAGAGAGAAGGCATTCTGATGGTTGTGGATGATACTTCTCTGTAGAGTGTTGTGTTGTGTGTGTTGATTGTTGAGTTGTGAAAGTTGGTTGTTGTTGTGTTGCAAGATGCAAGATAAAACTGTTTGATGGGATGAAGTGAGAAGAGAGTTGAGGGTTGAGAGGTATTCTGGTTCATTATATACCAGACTTTGGCAGTCACATATTTCGATGTTCTTGGCAACAAAGACTAGTAGTAAGTCCCCGAACACAATACTCGTTGCCTGTAGAATAGTGAACGTACTGCTATTAACATTCGAAATAAAAACAAAGAACAATCGACCTACATTGACTGTTCACTATTTATCAAACCGTCTTTGAGTTCGCTGGCTTATGTAACAGGCGACAAATGAATACAGCCGGAAATAACCAATGATTTAGACAGTATTATCAACATTTCTGCCTACCATAAGGTCTTGATGCCCGCAAAATCTTAAATGTTACAAGGTTGTTGTGCGCTTCATAGTAACACAACTCGATGAACACTCTCCGAACCTTGACCGCTCGACCACTCCATGACTCTGTTCATGAAGGAAATACTGTTTAGAGAAAGACTTTGAGGACCCTAAGACCAGGTATCGGAGAAGTCGTCCTAGGGCCTGCAGAAAATATCCCAAAGTTTTCCAAGTCTTGTCCGTAGGACATAGTACTCAACCACGAATCTATTGCCATGCCCGAACTGAGTTCCGGTGTTCCAGTATGTCATTTCACGCGACGAGCCGATCGCACATGTTCTGGAGAGTTCCTGTTCTATTACCGAGGTCCCAAGTCTTCTGCGTCTCCTAGTGGCTGAGAGCTTAAATCGGCAGAGACAACTTGGAAAGATAAGTAAAGAGGTGATAAAGTTAGAAGACCGTTTTTGAGTTTAGGATAAGTTTAGTCTAAATTTAGTATAAGTTTAGTACAAGTTAGGAGATATTTATGGCATGTACATCAAAGCCCGGAGGCATCATTCTCGCCCTCGCCGTTCTCATCATCACTGTGCAAGTCCCACGGGTACTCATGGTACTGCCTCCAAGACGAAAAAAACATAAACTCCCAATTGCGAAGCAGCCAGCCTGTACTTTCAATGTCGATGGTACCGTTCCTTCCGCAGCCTTGACATGGCTCGCCGTCAAAAACACCTGCCACCTGGCCGTCATAAATGTCCAGAGTGTTTGCCTTTTGCATAAGGCGGATGTCTCGCATGACATGCTCCCAAGTGTCATCGAATATATCCGGATCAATAGAGCAGTACTGGACAGTAATAAACTTGAGAGTTGAGGCGTGGCGCTCAATGAAGCCGACGAGTTTCTGGGGGTCGATCTCACCGCAGCTGAACTCGACGCGGCGAAGTCGGCTGAAGGTGACGTCGTCCGGAATCGCAGAAAAGATGGCCATACCATGAGGCTCTAGAAGAAGATCTTCCAACTGGGGCATAGAGGCAAGAAGCCGAGCGACACTTCCCTCATCTATTGACTCCTCGCCGATGAATTCACCAGTACCTGCGTCGAAATAGTTGCTCAGAATAAGGTGGAACTTGGTCATGCAGCTGCTGGAGAAAGAGGAGATAAGTTTCGGTGGGAACGGCGACTCGTCACTGTCGAACAGAAGGATCGGGAGGCCTGGCTGATATGATGAGGTGTCTCCCACCTCCGAAGAGGCATCCACTCTGAATTCGGTGAGGCGGATGCTTGGGTGCTCGAGGACTTCCAGGGCGATGATTATCGCACGAGCCTCTCGCCCGATAATGCGGCAAAAGGACCCGTCGGCAAACCAGTTGCTGTCTGTGACGTTTTCGGCCTAAAGGGTCGTCAGGGTTGGGTTGGCACAAGCGAGATGGCTAAATGAGCCTTTGACTTACGGCGGATTGAGTATCTGCGTCACGCCTCTCTTGCTCGTCGGCGGTAGGTGGCAGCCCATACTCCTTGATGTATTTTTCCAATTCGTCGTTCAAAAAGTCCAATTGCATCACTTCGGCTCTGAAACCAGGCGCGTGCCACGGGGCTATCCAGTCACACCTCGGCGGGAAAGGAGGTCGCTCCTTCTTCGAAACTCCAAGACGCCTCCACATCTTGACAACTGGACTGCTCGAATCTTCGCTCTGCGCGCCTGAGAAGAAGTCGTCGTCATCGGCCGTACGGTTGCTGATCACGAGACTTCGCAGTGACTTGAAGAGAGGGAGGGCTTGTTTGAGGGCAGTGACATCGGCGTTGCTCCGGCGATTCTCATGGTGGCCGACGAGGACAGCCTTGAAAAGATTGTGGAATTCTTTATCTGGTTCCTTAGACCAGACGCGACCGTCTTCCTGGAACTTTTTCGTCCAGTCATATGCCTTCTTTCGCTGGGGCCACATGTGCGTGTATGAGGCCAGAGTTTTGTAAACCTCCCAGTCGGCAAGACGAGGCGATAAGGTGGTGTCATCGATAACGAGTTCCTTGACGCCGCCAATGAGAACGGGGTTGCTTGCAACAAGTCGGAAGACGTCGAGATCAAGCTGGTGACATGAGAGGTAGATCACAGGATAGAGGTAGGGCGACGCGACCCTGTTGAGCTTGCGACAAGTTGCACGGGTTGCTTTGAGTGCGTTGCCAGGAAGAAGCTCAACCACGGCAACTTGCAACTCGTCGGATAATCGGAGGAGGGGACAGGAGCCCATGTTTGCGAGATGCTGCGATGCTGCGATGCAGCGGACTCAATTGGTGTGAGATAGAAGATGGGCAGGAGAATGAAGAGGCGGATGTGGAAGGTAGATGTTGCTGCCTGGGTGCCTTGGACAAGTGACCCCCAGCACTGGCAACCGCCATCGGGACTCTTGTGTAACCTCGCGACAGGTATGGGCCGCCTCCCTCTACGGTTCCAGTGTGCAAGATAAGGTAGGTAACGTGACATGAAGCTGTGACATAAACTTAGGTAAGGCATATGGCTGTGATCTAAACTTTGCACAACCTCAACAAATAAGTCTGATTTATGACAACATTGTAGAATCTCATCTAAGCTTCAGGATTGCAACCTGAGGTTGTTGCCACACAGACAGAAGGACTATAGCCGTCGAGGCCCGAGATGCAAGTCATCTATCTACATCTACAGACTGTTCCCTCACGGATCAGGGCCAAAAGCGCCACTGAGCAGCATCTCATTGACAGCCTCTTCCTGAGCATTCAACCAGCGAACCCACTTCCCGTTCTCGTCGTCGTCATACTTCCAGATCTGCCCGAGATCCTGCAACGTCTCATTCCTTCCGCAGTTGGTAATAGATCTACCATTGAACACGTTGTCAAAGGACCCTTCTTCCAACTGGAGAATGCCCTGGTCGTGGAACTCAGTCAACTTGTCGGTGACTTTCCACCACGGCAGGTCTTGATCATAGGGCCTGAGGCTGCAGTGTTCGATGATGAGTGTCTTTAATGTGCCACCGTGGCGCCGGACGAAGTCGAGGAACATCTGGGGGTGCAAATGCCCGCAGCTGAATTGAATAAATCGCAGGCGAGAAAATGTCACCTCAGTAGGAAGAATGGAAAAGATTGACATTCCATGTGGCTCCAGATACAATTCCTCTAGCTGGATCATAGACTCAAAGATACGGCGGACTCTGCCTTCCTCCACAATCGAGTCGCCAATGGTACCGTACGGCAAGTTACTGAGCGTAAGGTCGAGCTTGGTGATGTTTGTTGCCGCAGAAAATCCGCCTCCAAGCCGTGCAGCGAATGGGGACTGTCGGTCGAAGAGCGTGATGGCTAAGCCGGGTTGATGATCTCGAGATTGTATGTCGTAAGTCGCGTCGACTCGGAACTCAGTCAGTTGAGACTGAAGCTTGGGGTCTTCGAGAACGAGGAGGGCGAGGAAAATCGCCCGCGCCTCACGTGCCAAGACGAGAAGTTCCGAGCTGTCACAGTCAAACAGAAAGTCGGCGCGGCCTTGTTTGAATGCTTCCTAGTCATCCAACTCATCCTCGCTCTGCTATAAATCAGTGATAGTGGCAGAGAGGGATCAAAGGTGGACTTACATCGTCTTGCTGCTCAAGGTAGAGGTCATACGTAGACTGAACTGCAGTCATGTCTGACACGCCACCTTTCGTGATATCCATCACCAGCCGGTCATCGAGCCAGTCCATAGTGTTGACTGGTGTCCTGTCCTGGAGGCCTTGGGTGGTCGGATGCCAGTCGCACCTCGGGACCAAAGGCAAATATCCCTCTCTTTCGAAGCGCCTCCACACCTTGACCACGGGGCTCGATGAGACGCTGCTTTGAGCGCCTTCTGAGAACCGGTCGTCTGCCATGCGGTTAGTCAGAACGAGGCTCTGGAGATTCTTGAGTCGTGGAAGTGCTCTCTTGAGCGCGTCGAAATCTGCGTGGGCCAGGCGGTTCTCATGATGACCTTGGGCGGTGCTGCTGAAGAGCTCCCAGGCCTCTTCACAGGGTTTGACCTTGGAAGGCTCCCGGTTCATAAAATCAGGGTCAAGGGTCTCGCCTTCGTCAAGTTCCAAATGGTCGCGTCGGTCATCTGCATCCTCTGGGAAGGTGACCACCTTCTGGTACGTTGGCCAGTCGCGGACCGACGGCGGAACAGTGGTATCATCGATAACCAGCTCACGTACACCGCCGATGAGAAGAGGGTTCTTGGAGACCATGCGAAAGACATCGAGATCCAGCTGGTGACAAGAAATATACAAGACCGGGAATAGGTAACGCGATGCGATGCGGTTAAGTCGCTTGGAGGTCAGTCGTGAGGCTTTTATGGCATTTCCTGGGAGGAGCTCGATGATGCCGTCGACGACCTCGTTTGGGCAGTCCAACAGGCTGACTGGCGCCATATTGTGTTGACGGACGGCGGTTGCTTGTAGGCGCAAAACGTGAGACTCTTGTGTGATGGTTTGAAAAGAAATTCTCAGCAGTGAGGAGGGGGAGAAAAGGATCGCGATGGCCTCGCCACACGTGACACGCGCAGCTTCGCGTCCGACTATATAACCTTAAATCAGTATCTCCTAGTACCTACCTAACATCTTAAACTAGATAATATAGTAATGCTAGCGCTGCTTTATAGTAATATTCTCCAGTAAACTTTAAGGTATAAGTTAACTATACAATTACTAAAAGTTTATCTCCTATTAATAATATTTATAAATATATATATTGTACCTTAGCTTTAAACTAGCCTATTTATACTACTTATTTTCTATAAGTCTTATATAAATAAACTGCCTTTATTAAGAACTCTAGTAGTAGGCTATAATACTTAGCGTTAGAGGATAAATGCTAAAAGTGGCGTATTAATTCCTAAATTGCCATAATTATATCTAAACTAAATAAGACCGAGTCTCGCAAGCCGATCCACAATGTCCCTAGAGAAGCTAATTTGTTTATTATTTTGACCTACTCCCTCAGCATAGTAGTCGCAAGTACCCTGCCTGCATACATAATGCAATCTACCAGGACTCCCACTGTTCTGGCCGGTTACCTGAGCTTTGCTGGACTCTCTGCAGTAACATGGTGGGTTATCAGGGCTATTGCCTCTTACGTCTGCAAAACCCAGGAACCTTCGACAGTTTGTACATTTATGGTATGGCCGACCTGCATTGCCGTTTCGATTCGATGATCGGGTGACTAGGCGTCGGCTGGGATTGTTGCAGACGAAACAAGCTGGGGGAAGCGACGGCGCAAGAGCGAGGGGAATGTCAAAGGTGTTCGATAGAGTCGCCTGTTAGCCGAATTAGTAGAGTTAGACCACTGAGAAAGTTGACGAGGGCCCCATACCATTATAGATGTTTATTTTCAAATATCGGCAGGCTGTGATGATCTGGTTGAAGATGGAATGGCAGAAGTGTTATATGCCGTTGAGACCTGTGGCTGAGAGCTTAATCCGGCCGAGAGAAGATAGAAGATGGAATGGCGGGATAACGGGTTTTTATGAACTGTTGAGGACCGATCGGGCTCTACCACCAACGGTTAATGTGACCTGCAAAGCCCTAGCCATGTGAAGCCTTCAGAAGCTGAGGAATGAGTGGATGTATTGGTGCAATAAAATTCCCGTGGGAGGCCTCAGCAGATGCAGGAGGCCGACCATCCCAAACCCCGCACATAGAGGAAACACGAAGACTAGCGATTTGCAACCCTCATTTTCTGAGTATTCGGACACCTCTGAACCTACATAATTCTCAGCACAATCAATCAGCCTATTCTGAACACGATTTTAAGCATCAGTATGGAGGTTGGCTATCCGACAGTATGCGCCAGCTGCGGGAAGCAGGCAACCATGCGGTGCGCTGGATGCACAGGTGCGCCAGACTACGATCCCGGAGATTCCATGACAGTTGTTTACTGCGGCCGAGACTGTCAAATAAAGCACTGGAACGATCACAAAAGCCGTTGCCGTGCTATGAAGCAACGAAAAATATTACTGAGAGCAGCCAACATCCTTCGAGCAGCTTTGTTGACTTATCGAGAGATGTTATATGACATCGATCTCACAAAAATTGAAGCTAAAGATGGAATACTTTATCTCTACCAAAACCAAAGAGCTGTCACATCTCGTGTCAAGTGGAGGCCTTTTCCAAATCATTTGACCTCCAATACCCAGCACAGGGAGGCAGCTCTCACTGTCAACCAGTGCACGATGGCCACCGCGATATTAAGCCGTCTTACCAGAAAGCTTCTCACAGGTGAGTCACTTAGGATGACGGCAGCATGTTATGAGGTCTTTCTTACATTTGCCAGGTGTACACTCGAATATCGAGGTATTGGATGTTCTAATCGGAAAACCACTACTTCCACCGAAGCTGATTCCTGGCCCCGACTTAAGTAACTGCCCGCATACGGTGATTAAGGTTAGGCTATCAGCCACGACAGAGTCGTGGGTAATTGACACAGCAGGGTGTCAGTATGGATTTCGAGAGGTTCTGGTTCCATTCAACAAGTATATTGCAGATAAGGCCTGTCAAGTAAGCGAGCCCACGACATACAATTGGACCGAAACGAAAGACTTGGATTATTTCTCTACACTGCCTTCCATGAGCAAATTTCGAGCCCAAAGGCAGAACCGGGAAGTGGAACGAAAGGCTCGTTTACACTTCGCCGATTTCGTTGACAAACACATCAATGCCAATATACTGGATGGTTCTGCTTCCGAGTTTAGCAATAAGCTTGCCGGTTTAGTCGATAGGTTGAAGATACATATGCTGAGCTTTGCGGAATCTCAGAACGGAACTCGGGCCTGATGGTTATACTTCTATACAGGTTTTGAATTACCTTAAGATAGCAATTTAGAAATATACCAATTTACTAGCAGGATAACGTAGAGCTTAATAATAAATTAGGATTAGATAATTATATGCATATAAATATTTATAGAAGATATCTAAAGAATAAGTCTGATATAATATATTAGTTAATACTGGCTATCTAAGATATAAATAAAATCGCATAACGTTCTATAGCTAGTAATTTAAAAACTGACTTTGACCAGGGCGGTGCTAAAGAACTGATTGCAGATATTAAGACTGGCAAGAAGGATAGAGTTTAAAGTCTCATAGGTGAACTAGAGACATGTCTGTTTGTAATATAAGAGATGAGAGAATGTATCTAGATAAGTATAAATGTAATTATGAACTATCGAGTGGATGTATATAATATTTAACATATTCTACAAATAAAGTTAGCCGATAGTTTTCGCCCTTTAATGTCTTTTTTATAGTTCGCCTATAAGAAACCCACATTCTACTTTAGCTAAAATAAGATTGGAAAATTGTATCCAAAGATCGGGCTGTCGATGTCCATATGTGTCTTGAGCAACGATACCTTTCTGGATGTTACTTTCGGCGTATTTGCCTTGCCTATCAGTCCTTGTTTATCTGCTTCGCCTATCAGCTCTTCTTCAAGAGCTTCCAGATTAAGAAAAGTACAGAACCTCAAAGTTTCACTGCCTTGTCCCATGACCATGCTCAGTGCTGTTGGTTGTTGTGTTGTTGGTTGTGGTTGTCCCACTTTTGCATGCAGCTAGACAAATCAGGAAACATATCACCGGGCAGAAAATAGGGGGCAGGTTTGGAACAGGTCCTTGGGTAAGCCATACAAGATTCTCCGACTTAAGATCTATAAAGAAATAGCCGGGAACGCTTTGTCTAGTGTGAAACGGCTTGATAGCTTTGTGCTAAGTTGCTTGGTTAAGTCTTCCTCCCCCTTACACTGGTCCAGTTAAATTTAAATTTACCCCAATAAATAAGTAGGTAGCTGGGCCGCAACTAACCCTTTTCTGGGCTACTACTGCATGACGATGGAGATGACGATACTGATTAATCTCAACATCCATGCCAGTGTTGGCTCGGACTTTCGGGTCGCGAAAGCCATATATGGAGGCCGTGTGCTGCGGGTACGCGCAAAGCTGCTCTTCTTTTGTCAGGTGTAAGGGAAGAATACCCCCTCTGGTAAGTATAATTGAATTCGACTTCCAGGCGGAGGCCCCTTGAACAGCAACAAGATAGCTTCTAGAACTATTCATTTTGCAATCAGCGCAGAGAACTACCCGGATTTTATGCAATGTCTCTCTTGACAATGATTGGTCTTGTGCTTACTCTACTCGCCACCCTGGGGTCTTGCTACTCCAAATTCGCCCGTCCTCCTGAGTGGGACTCAGAACAAGACGCCGATGGAGACATGTTACTCAACCAACACTACAGCACAGGAGATAAGATTCCGATTCTCTACGAGACGAATTTGAAAAACACCCAACTCTGGATTTGGCAAGTTCTGGACGACTTCCAAGCCGGTTCTCAGATAGAAAGTACGCTATGAAAGTCTTATTCCACTGTTGGTTTACTGACTCCACAATACAGTAACAGAAAATTATTGGAAGGCTCAGTACGATATTGCAGATGCATTAAGCAGCGATGAGGACTCTGTTTACTATTTCAGCTTATATGAGCCTGATGATGAAGCTCAACTGGCGAAATCCCAATATGTCAATGTTAGCGCGCCGAAGAGAGACAAAACTGTCACTGCACCAGCATCTACGTCCAAGACCTTGCCAATCTCGACGCAGGCATCTACGCTGCAAACATCGACAACTTTATCTAGTGATAGCAATACTGCACCAACCGATTCAACCTCGAGCGATGAAACCGATTCGTCGTCAGAAACAAAGTCAAGCGCTGGACTATCTTCAGCAGCGATCGGAGTTGTGGCTGCTGGTGCCGCTATCGGTGGACTTTTGATCTTTGGAGGCATTGGATGGCTGGCTTGGAGAAGGCTTGCGAGGCAGAAGAAAGATAGGCCAGTTTCTGAACTTCCTGCTGATCTTCCTCAACAACAACAGCATGAACCTCCTCAGACTAAAGCTGAGCTAGCAGGAGACCCCGGCACATATCCTACTGGCTATGCAAGAAGCCCCCCTGGGATCCACGAAGCACCGTAAACAATGGCCCAAGGCGGTAATTCTATACAAGAATCAAGGCTGGGGAGTTTTAAGAAATATTCGATTAATATTTAATGAATTTCATAAGAGACTAGCAGGAAATATGATGTACAGGCGCTATAGAAGGCTGCAGAAGACTAATATAACCTGACGGCTGGAAAGTACCCATACCACATTTATACGAGCATGAGAGAAAGGCATAATATATCATGATGTACTGTCAGGGCTTTTTGAGGCTGAGATGATTATCCTCGGAAAGAGTCTCTTCTCGTATTTCGAAGAACAGACAACGGTGCAATGTTGTTCGTCTTGATCAGTCTGGCTCCCGTCATCCGATTATTTGATATTTTGCCACAAGTCCGTCATTGTATTCAGTGCAGATACAGAATGATAATCAAGCTGGACAGGAAAGTCGCCGAGGGCAGTATCGAGATCTGGGTGACGATACAGCACCGCGTCTTGAAATTATTATCGCTGATCAATAACCATACCAAATTCGTGAGCGGGGTGAGTTGGTAGCTGCGTTACAAGTAGATTACATACTACCTAACACCAGTTGGAAAAGTGAGATTTGATCCTTTTTTACCGTTGTCCCTTGTGAATTTGGATACGAGAACCAGTAGCCAGTATTGACTATATCGATGTCGATGATCACACGGGTCCAATGCCTATAGAACAGGGGCCATCGGGATGTTTTGATTTATTCCTATATAGGACCATGCTCTCATAGAAGCTGAGGAAGTCTACCTTGAGCATAAAAGTTCCTTTAAAATCCTGGACAGAGCAGCGGCCATATGGATGACAGAATTGGACAAATGCCCGTGATCCCGAATTGGGTGCAACCGACCCCCTTTCTTACCCAATAAGACGTAGCCAACAAAGCGGTAGGCCTCCCCTAGCGTGTGGTTTTCCCCATCAAACCAATACAGCCAATCAAGCAACCACAAAACCATTAATTACATTTCACAATGCGGCCATCTTGATCAAGCTGAAATGCAAGGGCGACCCACAAAGCCAATGTTCGTCAGTCGCCGGTTTTGGGGCCTGTTTGAAAGTGTAAATATGAATTGTTTCAGAGCCCTGATTGGATCCTGGGTAAGACATGCTTATCTGCAGAAATGATGAAAGACCAGATACAAAAGCCATCGACTATCATTGAATTCCGATCAAAGATTATCCAACAACATCCTTCCTCTTTACCGTCGCAGCAGCTTAGTTGATGAACAACATCCAAAACTTTACTCAGATTGAGGACGAGTCCACGGAAGTAAGTTTCGTGGACTCGGACTATCTCCTCGATCGTAAGTACAAAACCCAAGTTATGATACAGTAGTAACTTGACTGACGTTGTATCTTCGAAATTTCAGTCTCGCAGGCACAGTTCCCGGACCCGTCCATGATGCTACCTTATGACCTGAATCAATGGCCCCATCTGGAACGCTCGCCACTTGAAAATGCTCCTCCTGTTTCTTCCATGGATTATCCAGACATGTTTGGTCTGGGCATGGCCATGGACTCTATGCCCCAGGCCGCCCATGGCACTTCGAGTATTGATCTCTCACCACCGACCACAGAAGGCGATTTGCATTTCAGCTACCCTGATACCTCTTCTTTTCTTATCGCAGGTTCTTCGAATTCGCTGCTCAGCTTTCCTGAAATCCAGGACGAAGTATGTCTAGGGGATATGTTGCTTTCTGGTTCACTGGATCTTGACTTCACTCTGTAGAGCGGAGATCCCACGTACAACCAGACAAGTGATTCTGTCTCTGATACATCCTGTCCTCCATTTGTTGAAGCCGGAGCTACAAAAACACACTCATTTTGCAGTACTGTATCTGATCCCCACCATTCTCCCGACGACACGTCCGCGAGTGAAAGTCTAAGCTTGGAGACTATGGATGATCAAAAGTTCATAGAGTATCCTGTTACTCGTTTGAAAAAGAACGAGTGTATCGAGAATGGAAAGTTCCTTTGCAATAATGCGGATTGTCAAAAGATCTTTGACAAAAACCGCGACAGGAAGTAAGCCACGACAAGTTCCCAAATTCGCTCCTGCTAATCAATATTGCAAGTAATCATCTTAGAACGCATGAAAAGCCTTTTCATTGTTCCTGGCCTGGCTGTCAGGCCAGGGCTTCATGGAGGAAAGATATCATTCGGCATTATGATAGTCATTCCTTGCAAAAAATCATTCCATGCCTACAATGTGACGAGACTTTCACAAGACCTGACAACCTCAAGAGACATGTCGAAGAAATCCACGAGGGGAAAAGAAGAAAGCAGAGGTCTTAGCTACAAACTTTCCTTAATAATGCATGTCAAGATAACTATGTGCCTTACTTATCCATTGATTCATTATTAGCAGCCTTGAGTAGACAGCCCCTGCACTGATCGAGTTCATCTGGGGTATGAGGCAGCAATTATGATAGCCGCTTTGGTTCATAACCTCCCCAATTAAGTCATTCACCCAAACCTACACCTCCATCGGATTCCTCATCACTATCTCCAGACTCATCATCAGTGTTATCAACAGTCTCGTCATCATTGAGATGTGCCAGTGATTCAGAATCTGTGACTGCTTTCTTCGTTAGGGTATACTTGAACGCAAATGTGAGGCGATCTTAAGTGAACTAACCGTTACTTTCTCCATCACCGCTTTCAAACGCTTCTCCAACTTCAGAAAGTGAGATGGATCCCATAACCGCAGTGATATTTGTCACCGAGTCCGGTTGCCATGGAGTCGGTTGTTGCTGGGTTGTAATCTGCTCCTCTACGAGGTTGCTTAGCTCTTTGCTGAGATTTGCCAAAACGCGACGCTGGTCTGGCCAGTGCTGACTCTCCCTACCCCCAGGTAGATCGATAGGACGCCAACTGAGATATGACTTTTGGTGAGATTCAGGCTCAACAAATCTGCCCGGATGCCATTTGAAGTATAGTCTGCAGCACAAGCAAGCAAGCTTGCTACAGGCTATGTAACGATCATTACCCACAAATTTGCGTCGATTGCGATGAAAGTCCTCGAGCATTTGGATCTCTGCATGGACACCATGGTTTGTTTTATCGTCGTCATGCATAGCCCTGATCGCATCTTCAAGCTGTATTGAGCCGTCCAGTTGCCCAAGATACGCTTGCATGTCTTTCAGGCGAGAATCGCCTGCTGGAAGCATTCTCCTGAGTATAGAATCCAGATTTCTCAAGCCATCTGCCATAGGCATCTTTGCTGCAACTGGGGCTTCTACTCTTCTGATTTCGTAGGAGTCCAGAAGAGGTCTCAGTAGACGGGAGTCATTGACGAGATTGATAGGTATACGAATCTTCTCAGCCAGACGGCCAATGAGATGCTTGACAGAGCGAAATGCCTCTGCTGTTCCTTGTGGAGCTACTATCAGCTCCTGTCGCAAAGCCTCCAAGGTTGCCATCTGAGGAGCGTGGCGAGCATTGTAAGAAGCCTGACATAGGATCAAAGGGTCGGCTGTAGCAGAGAATTGGGTGAACCAGTCCAGTAAAGCGGCAACTCCTACTTGCATGTCAGCTAAAAGTCTATTTGTGACCACTTCTGTCTCACCAGGTGTCTGAATAGTGTCGAGATTGCTCGTTAAGTAAGCCTCACAGAAGCGCATAGACCGATGTAGGATTGCGCGTTCTTTTCTTAATCTTGGAGCAGCAAATTGGATGTACCTGGCTGTCAGCATCGCTATTAGTGTTTCTCTTTCTGTGTCCGTCGAGTTTGGTTCTGTTCGTAAGGTCTCTAGTACAGTAGAGAGAAACGCGATGACGCGATCATTTGGCGACACGTTCGATGCAATCCAAAATACAACACCGTTGTTGAGAGACTCAAGAGCCATTGAGGTTGTTGTTTTTCCGCCTTTTTGGTAGTCGCAAAAAAAGCACAAACTTGAAAGAAACCTTCGTCTTGTGCTTTGCAGGTCTGTAGGGGGTTGCGAGACGGTATGGGGACCGTTGGCTCTTTTGAGGATATGAAAGAGGGCAAGGAACTCAAACAGTCGAGAGAGAATTCTCGTGTATTTGTCTAAACGTGGTGGTCCGATACCCATTTTGATGGCAGGTTTTTTGTCGTAATAGCCACTGGCAAACTAGGTTATATTAAAGATGCAAACGTTGTTATAAGAAGGATGAAACCAGCGGGAAGATGATGTCGAGGAAAGGGCTGCCTTTATACATTTATGAATCTTTTCTACTTCGAGTCTTTGAAGCCCGGTCAGGATTTCTCGCCTGGTTTGGTAGGCTTCCCGCATATGTGGGTAGTCTTAGAAGGCGGAGGCTTGAAAATAAAAAATTGGCTAGGGTCGAGAACAAGGGATCGATGGATGCCTAGCCACGTATTCATTAAGTTTACGACATGGCATCGAGGCAATTAAAACCACGTGCTTTAACATGGCAAGCTTCTACATAGAGAGAATAGCAAGAATATTTGTTTATGAAGTCAGATATCGAAAGATGAGCACAACAAAAAGAGGCTATGATAATAGAGTGTTGCCATAAGCAGAGTCGGGAAATAGCCATAGTAAGTCTTGGTAAGAACCTATCGTTCCCTCTTCCATGTTCTCTCAAGTTTCCCGCCAAGGGAAAACACCAGTCCGCCCATTCAGCGTCAGATTTAGTGCGGGGTTGGGCCTTAAAAGTGAGTCAGGCATACCTGCAGTGTCCAAGCGGAACTGAAGCAAAGCCATCGATATCATCAAGCCTAATTATGCAGATACAATCCTCAGAGCCTGAATTTTCGTGCCGGGTTAGTTGCTCATTTTCCCGGTAATTTTACAAGTTGGTAGCTAAATGACAGGGACCGGTCGTTAGATATGTCGGAAGACATCCGTCGCCGCCAAGAGATGCTTTGTGATAGGTCATAACGTCAGCATTTGGAATGTGGAAGTAATTGGCCTTTGCTCAAAAATGCTTCGCAGAGCCCCCATTTCCAGTCGTCTTGCCAACCTCACACTATGGTGAGTTTATTCTAATCCAAACCATCTTTTTCACTGAACAAAGAAACCTTGTCTTGGGGGATCCTGGTGATATAATAAAGGGATGCATCTGCCGGAATGAAACCTGGTAATCTCCCTTGTGTATTAGTGATTAGTCTACAAGAATAATTTAATGTTGCGGTTGTTGGGAGATGATCTCCATCAGTAAAAAGTATCATTGGTCTCTGATCTAAATTTTGACTGTTGCTGTCCTTTTTTATCTATCCAAATACAAGTTGGCTCACACCTTCTGGTCAGAGTTTCATCTACAGACTCTAGTCATCAATTCCTGCAATAGAATTGAAAGAACAAGGGGATAAGACAGTTGAAGTTGCTTGCCATATGTAGCTCCGCAAATCTCGCACAGTAGACCAGACATCGAAAAGAAGTAGATGTTTTGGGTCCGAGGTGGCCTCATGAGCTGTAGAGAAAACATCACACAGCCGCTATTGACAAGTTCACATACTTGCTTTATTGTATACGTCCGCCGAATGTGTGGATCCTTGCCTTTTTCTTTGTCTTCGGTATCCCTTATATCGTCAATCATAACGAAATTGCGGCATAACCGACAATAATGAGGCTGAATGCTTCTTGGTAGCTGTAGAATTTGCTACTGGATCTCATTCGTTAGGGCAAGCTCGAGAAGAAACCGAAAATATATCGAGCCTTGTATAAAGTGGCGGTTCTCAAGAATATCAGATTGGTTCCAGGCATCAAAACAGATGATGTGGCATCTAACTGGCAATCTCGATGCAAATCCTCATATGTGATTGGATTATGCAACATTTGTCACCTCTCTATCCCAACCTGACATGAGGAAGCTGCACGTGAGTTTCATCGGCCAATTGTTTTCTACAACCCCCGCATCAGTTTCTTCAACTTCAAAAACTTCTCTTCTTCATGATTTGGCGCTGTAATGCATGCTCTCATCTATTGATGCTCCGACATGCCTTCCACGACTGGCATCCGTTGTGGTAGATGTAACAAGGGCTTTCGATCACAGCATGCCAAACAGCAACACGTTCAGGACTCTGAAAACCACCATCTTTGTGGTTATTGCCCCAGCCCTACAGACTATGAGACATCGGAAGACCTAGATACCCACTTGGAGGAAGATCACCATATATGCACTACTTGCAATTATCGGCAATTTAGGGACGGCCATCGACTGGCTCAGCATGATATGGACAAGCACAATATATGCAACGTGTGTCGAAGAAGATTCCAAACCGCGCAAAACTTGAAAATGGTTCGCTTTTGCTCCGTCCCGAACTAATTAATCATAAAAGAAGCTGACATCTATACCGCAGCACAAGCTTAGCCATGCTGAAAGGATCATTGAATGCGCAGGCTGTAGCAGGATGTTTGTTACTGAGTCTGCCATGCTGCTACATCTGGAAACTGGAACATGTACTTCGGGTGCTGATAGATATTCTGTCTTGGATGCAGGGCGACAGTGCTACCGAGCATTTTACTACGTTTCTGTCACTCGAGGTTATCCGTTTCAGTGTCCAACCTGTGAGACACCGTTTAGTCTCATGAGTGGTTTAGTCCAGCACGTTGAGAGCGACCATTGTGATGAGTGCCTAGATGAAGATAGACCATTGAGGGTATTTTTAAACCAGTTGAGGTTGAGATTGAGTTGATCGCTTCTGGTTGTTGTTGTTGGAAGTGACCGTGGTGGCATTCTGTTAATGGTTTGATGGCATTCTTCAATGCTAAGGCGTGGCTGAAGTGTTATAAATATAGCTGTCAGTGTTTAAATTGATCGAATTATGAATGTCATATATGCTGTTGTCTCAAAAACTTGAAGCCTTCCCTAAAACTGTTTTCTCGGACCCTTTCATATTTGCAGTTCTAGTCAAACTATCAAGATGTTCCTTGTGGCAAGTCGCTTATAGAGAAAGGTTTCATTGAATTTTTGGCTAGCCAGAGAATTTTAAGTCTCAAGGAGTTTAGAGATTCTTTTCTTGCTTCTCAAATACCCAACTCAGCATATCTCGTTCTCAACGGCCACACCTCAGGGAGCCATAATCACCTTTTAGAGGGACCCTCAACTAATTCTGATACGACTCCTATCACATCCTTGCACTATGGGATTTTGTAATAGCACCATACTAAGGCTCTTAGCACCTCTTAGATGGAACCACGCCCGAGAGGTTGGCTAGCGGGTTTGGAGTCTGTGGAGATCAAAGGTCTTTCTTCAATTGCAATCCCAAAGCGTGATAAAACCGCGGGTGCCTATGAGTCCAAATACTTCCAACCCAGCCCTTCTCAGGAAATAGTAGGTATATCTGCCAGCCCAGATATTGAAACAAAAGGCCTGTGGGGTTTAATGAACGACCGGCTGAGTGTCATCCAAGTCTCGTATTTCACAATCACGATAACGAAGCAGCTAGACAAAAGAATATAGCCCCACAGTGGTATATGTTATTTTAGGCATCAAAGATTCATTATTAATGGCCCTTACCCGTGCTGGTGTTTTAGTGCTGTTAATTCCAACATTTAATTGTCACTTTGGAGGCAGATGCAGCAGATGGGCTCGAGCATGACTGCAGAGCCATATGTGAAAGCTTTTTGAGATTATCATAGCTATCGACGGTGATACTGAGGCTTTGAGAGGTTGTAATTTGCTCAAGCTTGACAAGAACAACAAAAACATCTCTTGTAATAAGAGTCTTTGATCTTAGTAAGCTCAGCTTCTATTAGTATGGAGAGATATAACAGCTTATGCCACTTGGTATTATGCTTGATGTAATCAGCTAGTATAAACCATGTTTATTGACTTCTAATCACGATTGTGATACCGACGCTGCTCTCCATCATGCTTGAATCATGCGACGTGGATCTACAATATACTGAACCCTCTTCTGAACAACATCGAAACGCATATACCCACAACTCTCACTCTCCAGATGGTTGATCATGGCGGCTAGAGTGGTGAATTCCTTTCTGCAAGAGGCCCCCGGGCAGTGATAGAGTTTTGACTGATGAGCAGGGGAGCTTAAGTGTTGGTTCAAAGACCCCAGCTTTCCAAAGAGACGATGGCAAAGATAACATTCGTAGGCCTCAGCCTGGTCATTCCATGCTTTCTTTGTGGCGGCATAGGTTACATTACCAGACCAAGTAAGTAATTTGTTCGAAATAATACCGCCCGGGTCCCGCTGGCGGATGGCTGCATATAGTTTATCACGGTTGAGAGGAGCTTTAGAGCAGCATCCTCTCTCGAGATGATGGGCCAGTCCAGTGGCGGTTCCTAGCATATCTTTGCAGAATGGGCACTGGACTGTAGTTGTGCGATGAGCTTTGCCGCGTAGGTGCTTAGGAATGTAAGTCAAACGGTATAACAAAACACGACATCAAGCTCACAAACCTGGCTGATACTATGCCAGTCCTGGAATTGGCGATCGCAGACGACACAAAAGAAATGGTCCCGAGCTTCATGGTCGTGTAGCTCATATTCGTCATCAAACTCGTCGTCGCAATGATCACATTCGTAGACGATATCCTCCGATTCCTCCGACTCTTCCGATTCTTCCGACTCTTCCGATTCCTCTGATTCCTCCGATTCGTCCCAGTGATCCAAATCGTTCATGTGCTGTTCAACTGCATTGCGGCTACCGTAGTAGCGGTCACACGTGTCACACTCAAAGGCAGGAGCCTCGTGGCCAGTGGCGTTCATATGCTGCTCCCGCGATTGCCAGCCGGCCGGAAACTGTCGCCAGCATGTTCCACAGGTAAACATTATGAGTTCAAAGGTTCTAGTGATCACCGATGAAATTCGTTTGTAACTGAGAACTAGGAATCAGTAAATTAGCAGGAGGGCAAGAAAGGATCCCAACGAATGCGGGAGGCCCACCAGGGATAAGGCAACAACGTAGACGCTGGTCTCGCGCCATTGCAGCCTAATCTAATGATTGGTTACTTCTTTGCATGGTTGGTCTGGGACCTCCACAGGTCTGTCTTATCTCACCGATTTATGCTTTGGTTGGCTATTCTAAGAGAGAAGAGGAAAAAAGAATCGAGGGGAAGTGATAAGGCCGTAAGGGGTTACAGTGATGATTTCTAGGGGATAC